TGCCCAAAATGTCATTTGTTATGAGATCTGCTCCTTGTTCTCCCAGCAGCCATCTTGCTTGAAGTGCTGTGTATATACAGTCATGCTGCTGTAACAGCCGCCTCTGCTTGCCAGGCCTGAGAGGGGCTTTCTGCAGAGATAACCACTTGGTGCGAGGAGGAGAGGATCTGTGCCAGAAGTGCAGATGTTGCTGTTTGCATATGGGTGAGGATGATCTGTGTACATGTGGTTCTGCTGGCACCAGTTGCAGCAGGGGCTGCTCCATCCCCAGCTGGCTGCTCTGCTTCGTCATCCTTGGGGTGCAGCACTCTGCGTGCCCCTAACTAATGTCTGGGGCAGCTCTCCTTCCTGGTTCTGCTCTCTGCCTCAGCTTGACAGAAATGTGTGGATCTCTGTAAACTATTTGTGGATATTTTCCCTCCACATATAAAAATAACCTTTTAAAATAAACAAGCGGGAGCTGTGGGGTGAGGACTCTGTTGTCTCCTGGGAACTGAGTGCTGGTGCCCCAAGTGGAGCTGTTGGAGGGCTCTGGCTGAAGGTGGGGGTTGTGTGCTCTGGGACTGACAGGAATGTGCAAGTACTGCTTTTCTGCACAAATTCACCTCCTGGAATTTGATGGGATTGGTGGAGGGAGGAACAGGGGTGGCTAAATCCAGCAGGGAGCTGGTGACCAAAGACGTGCTTAGTGGGAACGCACCCAGGGATGTGGCCCTGGAGCCAGAGGAGCCTGCTCTGCAGTCTGGCAATGTAAAAATTACCTGATTGTGTCAGGAGATTATGCTTCCAGGGATTAATTACTGCTTTTTAATTACTACTTTTCTCCTACCACTTCTTCTTGATAACCTTCAGTGTTTCAGATGCTTTGGTGGGCAATGAGATCTCCAGCCAGCTGTCTCTGTGGCGCAGCAGGTGCCATCAGCAGGGCTGGACAGTGGCAGCCTATGGTCTTCTGCATTGACAGCACATGTAAGAAGTGTGAAACCACGTCCCTGGAGCAGCTCTTCTCTGTCTGGGAAGGCAGCGTGCATCCAGTTCACCCTGAGTCTGCTGGGCAAACCCAATCTTGATGGCTCTCATTGTGTGCGTGTGCCCAGCCCAGCTGTCAGTCCCTGCTGCCTCTTCCAAATGGGAGAGGTGAGATGGGAATTTTTCTTTAAAAAGAACTGTTTAGCCTAAGCGCTCAGCTATTGCAGTTATTTATACTGCCTGGCTACCTGGAAGCAGGAATATAAAAGGTTGGGTAACGATTTCATTATGCGATGTTTTATGGCAACTGGTATTCAGCTTTATAAATGAACTGTTCTCTCCTGTACAGCAGAAAAAGGTTTTTATATTTGGCAGTCTGCTCATAATATTCTAAGGATTATTAAAGTAAGCTGTAGTTGCAGTATAATGCACATTATAATGGCAAGTGGTTTTACAGTAATATGTCTTGGGGGAGGATATTATTTCAGAATGGGTATTAACATATGGATGGAGCTCGAGTCTTTTCATCCCGGTCAGAATGGCATTTCCAGAAAAGACCTCTGGACCATTATCCCAGTTAGTTCCTTATGAGCAATAAAGTAGCGAGAGGAGAACATTTCATACAATTCAGTGGGGATTTTGCAAGAAGCAGAAAAAGCGAAATCTTTTTTTCTCACCTCCTGACTTCACAGCTGTGAGCTGAAGTTGTCTCTGTCAGGGTTCCTTGGGGGTGGGAAGCTGGAAGGCTGAAGCTGTGTGTGATGGCGGTGCTGTAAGGGCAGCGGGGAGGCAGGTGTGGCCTCAGTGCAGCTGGATGTGAACCACCCTGCAGCCCCAGACAGTGCAGTGCAGGACAGACAGGGCTGCGTTGGAGGGGCTGCAGAAGGGAGCTGTGGGAACGACTGGGCTGTTCAGTTTGAACAGTTTATTTGTATTAACTGAGTAGGCAGCGACCACAAGGAGTGTAAGTGCTGTGCTGCTGGTATTTGAAGACTGTTAGGAAAAAAAAAAACAAAACAGAGAGAAAAAAAGAAAAAAGCAGAAGACAAGTTGGGATAAACATAGGTAGGGGGAATTTTGTCTCTTCTGTTGGACTGAATGCACACAGATGTGCTGGTGATGTTTAGGTGCAAATCAGCACCGAGAGCGTTGGTCAGGGGAGAAAAAGAACCAGATAGAATCAAAAAAGAACCGGGTAGAATCAGAACCCCAGCATGGAGGTCAGGGGTGGAAGGTGGGGGCTGAAGGCAGCAGTGAGGGTTGAGTTCTGGAGCTGCTGGATGTCAGAATTGTTCGTCTCACCTCTGACCTTCTTGAAAGGATAATCTGTGCATGCTGGTGCAATTATTAAAAGCAACAAACAAACAAAAGCCCTGATAACATACTGCTGATATGCAGCGTGCAGGGATCTTAAAATAATCTTTATCCAGGGATTAAGAGTTTCTGATCTACCACTGACCTGCTTTCAGAGAATTACAAATTCATTACACTTGCAGCAACAAGATGGAAATGCGGTAAAACAAAATAGCAGCAGTTCTACAGCAGCATAAGTAACCAGGGTAAGTTGCATTGATGAGAAAACCTCCAACAAAAAGACTTTTCTAGACAGAACCCCAAGCGTGCCTGGGAATCCATGTGCAGAAACCGTGTCTGGGCTTCCAGCAATGTGTGAAAATGTTTATTTTACACTAGAAGTAAAAAATGCTGACCTCTGGGTGCCCTGTGTATTTTCCCCCTTTCTTCCCTCCGTGGAGGAGAATTGAGGATGACATGAAGACATGAACCCCACTGTACAGCTGGAGTCTGAATTGGTGCTGTTCCTGCAGGGCTGGCGATAGGAATGCAGGATGTGTGTGTGCAGAGCCAGGGAGAGCCGTGCTGCTCCTGTGCTGTGCTGGGCCATGCAGGGACTGCAGCACCGCTCCTGTGTTCCAGGGGAAGGAAGGATAACTCATGAAAGCAAACTGAGTGCCAGTGAGCAGTTTTTGTTTTGCTGGCTGACACTAATATGGGAGTTTGACTGTTTGGTTTGGCTGTATGCATATATATATATATGTGTGTGTGTGTGTGTAAAAATTTGTATGGAAGAATAGTTAGCATGAAATTTCGTCTTAGTTTGAAACGCCTGGCATCTTTATCCAATGATAAAGAACACAGACTTTGGGTACAAATTCAGTATTTTGTAATTCCAGTTGCAGAAATATTTTCCATGGTAGATAAAAGTGAGCCAGAAGAGCAATAAATCCATGCTCATCTTTGGAGTGTAGCAATAATTAGATGGATAATCTGATCTTTTTTTAATGTATGTATATACGAGTACTATTGGAGTGCAGCCTCAGGGCCCCAGAACCACCCTGCAGGATGCGGGGCCTTGTGGTGCCTGGGCTGATAGACCCAGAGATGTGCAGAGGGGCTGTGAGCCCATAGGGATTCTGTGCTTCCACTGTGGAGTGGGTGGCTCTGGGATGGTCACTGTGGATGCTCCCCAAGGTCTGACCCCTGCACTGTGCGTGGCCGTGTTCTTCCATTTCACTGGCATGGTTCCACACAGCGGGCTCTGGCTCGGGCTGGGCAGGCTTTTAATAGCAATTGGAGGAGAGATTAAAGTGCCATCAGACAGTGTGTCAGGGATCGGGGAATGGAACAGCCACTCGTTTTTATTTACAGTAACACGATTTATGTGTTGTCACAGCAGCCTGGCAGCCATTGCCCCCTGGTTTTTCATGTTCCTGTGCAGAGAGGCAGCACCGTTCTCAGCCACTGCAACATCTGATGTGGCCAACACAACGTCCTGTGTCCCCTGCCCTAATGGGGGCCATGGCGCGGGGCCATGGGTCTGTTCTGAGAGGGAGCTGAGACAGGGGCTGGGAGCTGCCACGTTGGGATGGCACTGTGCTGTGGAGTGTGGAGGGGATGCAGACACTGCTGGCCCTAAAATAAGAGGGAGTTCTCAGGCGAATGGCCTTGGAGGGTTGGTAGGAGCAGGTGCTGATATGCAGCTGGAAAAGGGGAGAGACTTTTTGGCCTTGTTTGGCCTTCGGTGCTGAAGGTTGTGCTTACTGTCCCAAACCCACCTGAAGCTGTCAGCTTGGGGCTTGTGACTGAAGGATCGTCTCAAGAGCTGTCCAAAATGCAAAGGGCTCAGTTTGCAGCAGGATCTCATTTAGCTGTAGTTTCTTACACAGTGATGCTGTGCTCAGCTGGGTTGTTGTGCTGGTGGAGCTGTTCACTGGCAGTTCCACGTCATGCTACTTTCAGACATTTTGAGTTCCTCGATCTTTTTTCTTCCTCCAGTATCTGCGTTTCTTTATGTTTCTGTAACCCCTTGCTGTCAGGACTTTACCAAGGGAGCTGTATTGCTGTATTAAACACCTGCACCCTCCTCTGGCCCTGCCTCTGAGAGCCAAGTAGCATTCCTTTCTCTGTGAGAAATGGAGGAGCACTCACTCTTGTGTCCCCCCGTCCTCCCCCCCAGCTAGTGTAATCCACAGAAGTACAGCAAAGCCATGAAAACATAAAGTCAGGGGCAGCCTGTGGTGCTTGCAACATCAGAACAGGACAGGGCCCTGCCCTGGCTGATGCATGCAGCTCAGAGGTGCGGTGTTAGGGAGGGGAGTGATGCTTTATCTCCCTGGCATGCAGGTCAGAGCCACGCCATGGGTGCTGCTATATGACAGGTCACCCTCAGCTGCTGGCTGTCCCTATCCCAGCAGTGCACAGGTCACAGGAACCATTCAAAGGCAGCTGCATTGGAAGGGAACTGTGACTTTGTGAAACAGAGCCTGAGCCCTGAGGAAATTAACCAAACTTATTGAACACCAGCAGTGTGTCCTGAAGCAGGGCTGTGGTGTCACTCACAAACCCATCCTGTATATAATTTCAGCCATGAATTTGCAAAGGTGGAGTGGGAAATCACTGAAACATTTGTAGGACTGAGAGAGGAAAAGTTAAATACGCTGCCTGTGTTGTGCTAGGAAATACTAGGAAAGCCTTTAAAAAAAACCCAATTAACTGAAATATTTTAATTTTAGGAGCAAGTCCCTGTTCCTGTGTATCACCCAACCCCCAGCCAGACCCGGCTGGCAACACAGCTGACAGAGGAAGAGCAAATCCGAATAGCGCAGAGGATAGGCCTTATCCAGCACCTACCGAAGGGAGTCTATGATCCTGGAAGAGATGGCTCCGAGAAGAAGATCAGAGAGTAAGTTCCACAGGCCTTACAGAGCTGCTGTGGGTGTCCACTGGTCTGTGCTGCATCCCATGGCAAACCTCATCTGGTCCTTCTGTTTGCCTTTCTTTCAGGAAGTGTAATTTGACGCAGCTTTCTTCCACGCAGAAGCCTCTTTGTTCTATCCTTTGTTTTTCTGCTACAAGCAAAATGTATCTTCCCTCATATGTGTAACTTATGCCCTTTTATTTTCTTCTTCCCTTCATGGGAAAATAATTCCATGCTGCTGCTTTCTCAACTTCATGACTCCCATCTCTTTGTTTCTAGTTCTGTGCAGGATGCTGAGCTGCCCCAGCCCTGGCTGCAGGCTTCCTGCTAATGCTGCAGTCAGGGGCTTGTAGTATGAAGAAAACATCAAGAAATCCAGTGCTGGGTGAAGCCAGCACTGATGTAACAGAGAAATCTTGCCATATCTGTCAATAATAACAGAAGTTTGTTTGAGACGGTCGCATCTGATAGATATTGCATTGCTTTTCATTTCCAGTGTGCTACCATCCACGTAACTATTTCTTGTTTCCCCAGATGTGTCATTTGTATGATGGACTTTGTGTATGGGGACCCTATTCGATTTCTGCCATGCATGCACATCTACCACCTGGACTGTATAGATGACTGGTTGATGAGATCCTTTACCTGTCCATCCTGCATGGAGCCAGTGGATGCAGCACTGCTTTCATCATACGAGACTAACTGAGCCAGGGTTTCTCCGTGAACCTCCAAGGAGACCATCCACTTCAATGGGTTTGATCCTTTTGTCATTCAGCCCAAAGAGCCAGAAATTAGGAATTAAGGTCATGCACAAAATATACATTTCCTAATGAATAAAAAATACTCCTGAATGGCTGCAAATATTGGGAAAAAAAAGCATAGTATTTTAGAGAATATAGAAAAAGTAGGTTGTTATTTTTAATGTAAAGCCTTGACCCACCATTGTCTTTAATGTTTGTTCTTACACCCATATATAGGAATTGTAAAGTGTTACAGCAACTGTAAATGTTTAAACTGCGTGTATCCAATTTTATTAGCAGTAAGATAAGAGTATTTTTTTTTTTTCCTAAATAAAGTAACTTTTTTTTTTTTTCTGATTCTTTTCACGAGTCCTGGCATTTGGGTCAAGGCTTTATTAAAATCTACATTTTATAACACTGGCACAAAGAAATAGTTTTAAGCTTGTTTGCACAGTTCTTTTTTTTTTCTTTTTCTTTTTTTTTTTTTCCCTCCATTGGAGATGGAATTCATTGCCTTAGGTCTTTTTAATAGTGTATTGTTATTGTTGGGCTGGCTCTATGCTTGAAAACCAGTTTATTTATAACCTGTTACAAGTGCTATATTTTGTTTGCAGTTAGGAATATGCAGACTTCGAAGTGATCTCCTAGCTTGTAAGCAAACTGAGATGCATTACCCCTTTTCTGCAAGTGATGTTGAATATGAAGATGCAGAACAGATCCTGCAACTGAAATTATGGTGTCACGGATTTTAGAACTCATTTCGGTTTGGACAAAACAAATCCTTACACTTGGATGTCTACTTGAACTTGATCAAGATAAAAGTGGACCAGGAGGACGATAAACAGTGAAGCTACCACAATTGGAAAAAAAAAATTAGTTCTAATATAGTGTTAGAAGCAATCACTTATTCTACCTTTTTTCTCCCTAAAAAATGGTTGTCTTGAATTGCAGCAAATGGATACTGCATCTCTTGTTCTTGTAGTTCTTAGGTTTCAGAAGTTAAGAATAAACATACTGTATCTCAGTCTCCTGTATTACATGTATCTGTTGAGCCCTGCTGCTGACACGGCAGTCCACCAAAAAGAAATCTTATCAAGCAGAGAAAAAATATTTTGTTCTGCGCATAAACGCAGCGTTTATATGGATGCAGATTGTCATAGCAGCAGTGAAGGGGGAGAATAGTACTGCTGTAGCCAGAGTGACACCATTAGCTCATTTCTGCAGCAAAATGATGTGCTTATTACTAGGTGGTCTTGCAAGGTTGTAGCTGTAAAGAACTTTTATCCACTTAGCATGTTTGGTTTTTTTCTTTTTTCTTTCTTAATGTACCCTGCAGTGACTTGTATGCATTGAATGCAGTGCTGATACATTGAGAAGTCTCAGTCTTGCAAAATGAGATGCAATCTCACGTCAACCACAACAAATCAGGGAATGTTCTTGATTGTTTTTCACGTGCAGTTTGAGTAACTGTTCTATCAATTTGTGCTTAAAGTCCCAAGTACTTTGACCTTGTCTACTGACCAGCTACAACGGTGCATGGCATGGATACTTTTTGGAGGGTTAGTCAGCAAAACGTAGAACCAACACGTTGACTTATTTATTATTCCTGTAGCTGGTAGCAACCTGCTCTCTTATTGAAGAATTCCAAGTTGCAGTTGGAAGCAAAGCAGTCTACAGTCCTACATTCACTCAAATTCCACAGATTTGCCTGGACACAGTTTTGTGCTTAACTCATACGTACCTACTTACTCGGAGCAAAGTGGAGCAGACAGACCTGAAGTTGTGCAATATTTTTCAGTGCAAAATAGTTGTTCCTTTTCATCATTCCATGTGTGTTCCTTTGTGTCCTCTTTTGGCTGGTTGGGGGTGTTTGTTCTTCATTTGGGGGGGTTGGTTCTTTTTTTTTTTCTCTTTTTTTTTTTTTTTTAAACATAAAACAATGTCCACATTAAGTATTAGTTATTTTATCTTGTTAAAACTGGCAAATGAACAATTTTAAAAAGCAGCATTGTCATGTTGGTATTAGTCTTTATTTATTACAAGCCTCATTAAGGAAGACTTGAAAGAAATACAGAGTGAGTGGTACTGAGATGAATGCGTTTCTCAGCACTTTGTATAGGTAAAGCTTCCCACTGCTGTACTTACTGGCCTATGGGAAAAAAGTATTACAGTACTTGGTGAATAACAGAAAGAGCTGGAAGGGCTAAAACTAGAGTTGATTGCACAACAACATTCCAAAAAAAAAAAAAAAGGAAAAAGTCAAATTTTAGTTTCAAAACAAATGTGTAAATAAAACAAATAAATCAAATGACTTTTTCAAGTTTTTAGGTGCAGTGCTGTTCTGGCTGATTTCTAATTCAAAGCCGCAGTTCATCCAAATTCAATCTGACACAAGGTGTACACTGAACCTCAGCTACAGCTCTGAGACCAGAACGGTGTCTCAGTTCCAGCACCTGGGAGGTGAGGGCAGCATCTGCCTTCTGTCTCAGGGTGCCCCTGAGCTCCTTCCTCCCAGTTCCATTCAGCACAGAGAGGCACTGAGGTGGAAGATCTGTGCACCCCATCACCACCAGACACCGCAGCAGTGTGTCGTCCCATTTATACTGAGAGCAGCCACAGCACCAGAGCAGGTGGAGATGAGGGCACTGCTGTTCCAGCAGGGAAGGCACGAGGTGTATCTGCAGCTTACAGAAGGAAAGGGATTTTGTCTCATACAACAAAAGAAAGCAAAATTCCTGCTGAGGCAAAAGAAATGCAATGGCAAGTAACAGATACTTAGTTTTATAAAGACCTTTACGCTTGTAATACTTGCATGCTACTGGAATTATTATTTTAATCATTTTATGTCTAAAGATGATCATCCTTACTACGTTCTGCCAGTTCATTTTGTAAATCTGAGAGGTAAACATGTACATAAACCCAGAGGATTTCTTCAAGAAGAGCTGGAGGTGGAGGAAGGCTTTCACCACTGAGGGTTTTCAGAGCTCTGCCTCTCAGCTTCCCAGGGCTGACGGCAATTGTATGCTTGGGAAGCTGAAAGCCCTCTCTGCAGCACTACAAGGGCATGCGCCCAGGCAGGGGGATTGTGAAATACCTGGATTTGAGTTGCCACAGCTTCAAGACTTCGCCATTTCCTGTTCTTGTGCAGTCGTGGTAAAAAGAAAACACAGCGGAGTCAGTTAAACAAAACTGAGATGGCTGAAACCAGACATAGCTGAGGTGCAATCCTGGGTGAGAAGGGACGTGCAAAGCGGCTGCTGGGCAGCTGGAAGTACAGCATGTCACAAACACCCTATTTTTGCTGAAAAAATACAAATATTGGATAACCTATAAATGCATAAAGTTCATCCCACAGAGCACTTAATAGCCAGAATAAAAATTAGCTTCAAGGATTAACTTCTGTTACATACAGTGCAACTTAGACCATTATTTATGCCTAACTGTCCTCTGCAGATTTAAATCTACTCTTTGAAATTCTCAGTATGAAATGTAAAGTTTATACCTCTTTGTAAAAGGAATTGCCAAATACAATCTGCAAAAGCATTTTCTAGATATAAGCAGAAGAAATGACCATGTTTGCATGCTGTCAGTCTGACTATTGCAGTACCTGCTCTGCGTATCCACTTACAGCCATGTAAAGCTGCAGGAAGAAATCTGTATAAATGAAAACAGTATCACTGAAAACACCTGCTGTGTTTCCAGCAGCACAAAGGTACGTGTTTTTAACCAGCAAAAGGGGATCGACCATGCAAGAACCAACCAAAACCCTCCAGTCCTTCTCCATCCTCAACTGGAAAAACAAAAACAAAAACACACACCTTAATAAAAATGTTCTTTGCAGCGCTGAAACACCAAAGAATGTTTTTATTACAAATGAAAGCATTCCAGCTGAGCACTTACTCTGGACAGAAGCAGGCCTTGCTCCAGCTCATGGGACACACAGGTGCTGCCAGCCTGCCACCTTCTGCTGAAGGGCTCCACTTTTCCTTCATTCTGCAGCACAGAGCTGCTTTCTAGTGAGGTACAACCACTGCCTCCACACTGCCTCTGTGTTCTGGGGTGCCTCCCTGCAGAAGGCTGTATGTCACACACTCCCAGATCCAGCAGGAAAGCTCCTCACCTCCCTGCGTTTTCCAAAGCGTCACGTCCAAAGGTGTCCAAGCTTTTGCTTTGTGTCTCTCACATGGTTATTTAATTTTCTTCACTGTTGATGTTAATGGCTCAAATAGCTCTGGTAACTTTTTAAAAAGCTTTGGCTATACAAAGTCTTCTGCAACTTACACCTATAATGCACTAATATATACTGTGACATATATTTCTGTCATTTCGCCATTTGGCACCTCGCACCATCACCAAATGGTCAGGAAAACCACTGCAAACACCAGCTCACCCCACAGCTGCAGCCATGGCTCCATCACCACCAAGCACAGCTCCAGCAGCACAGCCCACCATCCAAGGTGCCAATGGCTCCTTACATCTGTGTGCCCTGCACAGTGCTGGATGAGGTGAGCACTGGATGAGAGGTGAGCACCGCACAACGCTGCAGCTCAAAGGCTCACACCTGAGCCACCTGCCCCAGCAGAACCCCAAGTTCAGCTGCTGTATAGAATATCCAAACCAAAGTTCTTCCTATGCTTCACAGTCATCCTGCATTTCCACTTTCCTCCTGGTAACCACCTTCTGAACATTCAGCTGGAGATAACACTAAGATCAGAGATCTTTCATCACAAAGAGTTTGCAATAGCAAAGGCAGATTTTGGCCCACAGGCAGACAACATTATTTCCCTGTTTACATCCAGGATGAACGCAACATCAATGCCACAGCCAGCATTGTTGTGCCTCAAGTCCAGGTATTTCACACACAAGGAGGCCTGAGCTCTGCAACCATCAAGCTCAGATCCAGCAGCAAACTCAGATTCCTGGTCACCAGGCATCGCAACACAAAGTGCTGCTCTCAGACACACACAGGTGCTGGAGCTCTGCACACCTTCCACACTCTCCATCACCAACACAGACTGACACAGCATTATTGCAAACACAGAAGCATCTGATAACTTCTGTGCCAGCCCTCTGCAAAAGCAGAGTCCATAGAATGCATACAGAAGCATACACACAGCAGCACAGCTGGACCCCAAACAGCCACAGCTGTGCTGCCTTTCACAGGTCTCAGCCCTGAGCTCTGCCCTCTGCTCCAACAGCAAACCTACATAAACTCGAGGCAGCATCACAGACAGGCATTAAAACCAGTCTGTAGCAATGATACTCAAGCCAGCATTTCTGTAATAACCTCAATTATTTCAACAGCAGTCAAAAAGACAAGGCCTAGCTACCTTATTTAAATCAGTAACTGTAACCACCACTGGCTCTCTCACAAGCACAGAATGTGGATGCAACATTCAATCATCTGTTTCTTCTAAAATTCAGTAAATATTATGGCCTGTTTGATTCCAATGACTATTTGGATGAATTACTAAGAAACAGACTTATGTAAAAGTGAGATGTGAAAAACAGACATTTCTTTTCAGCCTCAGACCTGAAAACGTTCTTCCAGTACTTGACTACCATGAGATAAATGTTTGTTTCTTTCTTTTCTTAAATTGAAGAACCCCATTAACAGTGTATTGGGTGTTTGTGAACGCTTTGTACTCTTTTTGTGTAGTAGTCAAGGAGAGCTAAAGCAAGTGGAATTCAGCACAATGCATAATTCTAAGCAAACGTGTTGCCTGTGTTCAGCCAGCAATGAATGTAAGTAGGTCCAGAGATGACAAAAACCCAGAAAGTAATGGAATGAATCCCAGTCCTACAAAAACATTGTTGAATTTGGAGCAAACACTATGCAGATTTTTACCACAGTGCAACACAGATATTTATTAGCTCTGTTGCTTTTCGTAAGAGACAGGGACTGGACTTAAAATCAAGTACATCCTTTTCTTTTTTTTTTTTTGTAACACCAGAGCAAATCTAGCAAGCATCTTTTAAAGTATTTTATGATGACAAATCATTCAATTATAGAACTTTCCGATA